GGCGACGTCACGGTCCTTGATTTTAATCTATTCATAAAGGGCTTTTGAACCACTCTTAGTCTGACCCGTCACCCAGGACCTGTTTGCCTTGGGAGACCCTACCAGGGACATATAGCCCCCGACAACATAGCTCCTAGGATCACTCGGGTACTCAAACCCCTCCACCACAATAAGGTGGCGGTTCAAGGAGGGGGAAATTCAGATTCCAGGTGATTTATTATTATTATTATTGTTGTTATTGTTTTAGCTATTTAGATTGGTGCATAAATATCACACTGTCAATGTAAAATAACTGGGGATGCATCCCCTATTATGTAAGTTATGGAGACTCAAATATTTGAGTATTACACTGTAAGATGGTCAGTACTGATGACTGTCAGTCAGAAGAATATGGCTCCAAATTCACATGTGTATGTGCATGTACTGACATTTACATTCCACTTTTTTCAGGAACCTTCTTGACATTTCAGGAGTAGTCCGTCATGTGCAGAAAATGTTCCCATGGGTCTTTCTTTTTATTTTTTATTTTATTTTATTTTTTTTTTTACAAATGGGCTCCATTATGACTTTTCAGGTGTCCTTTTCAGAACATTTGAGACACAGGTTTCCCAAATGTCACGTACATTTTGGAAGCTTCTTGACAATGGGTACATCATCCCTAATTAACCACATCTGTTAGGGACACTTTGTGACACTGGGTACTCAGAAAACCATGGTTCTATTAGCATCCAAGCCCACTTTGGTATCTTTGTGACAGCAGGTAAACAGGGGTGACCAGAGCCATTGATCTTAAAATGTCCACTTCATGTTGTGCTATCTCACCTGAATTAGGGAGCAGACCTTGGAGTGGAGCTCATTGGCAAGTGTCTGGTGGCTGGGGTCTGGTAAATAAATGACATGGTGCCACCACCCTGTAGACCTACCATCTGCAGTGAAAGGAACTGGGTTGGGTGTTATACAAGTTGGGTGGCAGGCTAGGTTGGGTACCTGAGTGTGTTGATCCCTGGGTGCATAGGCTAGCTTTGGGAACATGGAATGTCACTTCTCTGTGGGGAAGGAGCCGGAGCTTGTGCAGGAGGTGGAGTGATACCAGCTAGATATAGTTTAGCCTACCTCAACACATACTGTAGTTCTGACTCTGAAACCAAACTCTTGGAGAAGGGTTGGACTCTATCATTTTCATAGCTACTCAGGGTATGAGGTACCAGGTGGGTGTAGGGATACTCACAGATCCCAGGCTGAGCACTACTGTGTTCGACTTCTCCTGGTGGAACAAGAGGGTTGCCTCTATCTGACTTAAAGTTATAGTTCTACTGGTGGATCGTCAATGCTCATGTGTGAAATGATAGAGAAACCTGAAAGGGGGTGATTGGGAGGAAACGCCTGCTCGATCTGAACCCGAATGGTGATTTGTTATTGGACTTATGTGCTAGTCATAGATTGGCCATAACAAACACCACGTTTGAGAATAGGGTTTTTCATAAGTGTACTTGGTACCAGAACACCTTAGGTCTTAGATTGATGATCACCTTTGTTGTTTTACCATTGGATCTAAGGCTGTATGTCTTGGACATTTGGGTAAAGAGAGAAGCAAAGCTGTCAACTGATAACCACCTGGTGATGAGTTTGGGTCAGATGGGGCAGGACGCTGCTGGACAGACCTGGCAAACCTAAACATGTAGTGAGGTTGCACTGGGAATGCCTGGCTGAAGCCCCTGTCTGGGAGGTCTTTGACTCTCACCTTTGGAAGAATTTCTCTCACATCCCAGGGGAGGCTATGGACATGGAATCCGAATGGGCCATGTTTAAATCATCCATTATAAAGGCAGCTGTTCCTAGCTTTGGCCAGGAGGTCACTGGTGCCTGTTATGGCTACAACCTGAGAACCTGATGAAGAAGGAGATCTACAGGGCTTGGTTGGCTCAGGGGTCTCCTGAAGCAGCTAAAGGGTACTGGCAGGCCAAGAGGGCTGCAGCTCGGATGTGGGAGGAGTTTGGTGAGGCTATGGAGATGGACTTTTGGTTGGCCTTAAGGAAGTTCTGGCAAACTGTCTGGCAACTCAGAAATGCACAGAATGTGTTTGCAGGAGAGGAGATATTCTGACTCTAACTGGGGATATTGTTGGGTGGTGGAAGGAGCACTCTGCGGAACTCCTGAACTCATGTAATGTCCTCCAAGGAGGTGAAAGAGGTGGAAGACTTGAGGAAAACCTTACCCATATCTCTGGTAGAGGCCACTTAAGTAGCCAATTTTTTTTTTCATTTTTAGCCTCAATATAGTTTAAACAGGTAACGTATATAAAAATTCACCCCCTGTGCTGTTGTCATGAAAAGGTGAATTAACTAAAGAGACTAAAACTGTTTTTGTACCAGGCTGTAAACATCTTTATTTCTTCTGCAAAGACATTTTAACATGGGAGTCTATAGTGATTGACCACCTTTTGGAGCCAACCTCAAGTAGCCATTCAAAGAATTGCATGTTTTAACATTTCTGCACTGGCTTCAGTTCTCAGCCTCAGAGGTTGCTGCTTGGACATTTGAGAGAGAAGGGACAAACAACCATATAGGTTGCATAGGTTGAAGGAATGGTTGGTACAGTCATATTAATTTACAGTAATCAGGCAAACATTCTGTCAAGTCCCTACTTAAAGTATGCTGTTAAAACCAAATAATCTAAACATTTTCTACAGTTTTTTTGTGTCACATTCAAATATTCATTATTTAAACAGTTTGTAAAATTTTGGGATTTCAAATCTACAAGCGTGTTTCTGTATACAATGGCCACTTACAATGAACACCTGCAACATAAATGTTAAATTTATCTGGGATATTTTCCAGTCATTCCCCTTTTAATGTTTCTTTCAGGTTGTAGTAAAATGATGAAACATTTTGGTACAAAAATGCACAGTAACAGTCCAAAACTGGAGGCTAATATAGCAAATATTTCCACAGCCACAGTAAACTTCCCAGGAGAACTGACATAAGCTGGGATGAAAGAGATCCATACAGCACAGAAGATGAGCATGCTGAAGGTTATGAGCTTTGCTTCATTGAATGTATCAGGTAGCTTACGTCCAAGGAATGCCAGGAGGAGGCACAAGAAGGCAAGCAGGCCAATGTAGCCCAGAACCAGGTAAAATCCAGGAGGCCATGGGTCCTTACACTCCACAATAATCTAATTATATCCAACAATGCATTATTACAGATGAATCAGTACTTGTAATACAATTTGACTTAGGGTGTAAAATCTATCAATATGATCTTTATAATTTCAGTATTAAAAGTAATACTGAAAAAATGAAACTATGTGAAGCACTTGAACATTTTAGATAAATCCTAATGTATTTAAAAAAATACACTGTGAAAGTCATCTAAATATGTCATCCTTACCTTTCCAGTTGAGGGTTGATAAGTTGGGTTCCTGAATGGGAAAGGGGGTGCAAGCAAGAGCCAACAAGCACAAAGACAAACCTGACAGCAAGATAGATAGTTACTTATTTAAAAACAAAGAAACAAAAAAATAATTTAAAAAAACTTTAAATGGTTACAACGGGAGGCTGAAATTAGGTTTGTTTTTTCTATCCCTCCTACCTGTGGAGCTGTGGTGCACAGAATCAGAGTCCTTTGTTGAGAAGGACCAAACTGCTTCAGAGCCCTGGAACCAGGTACATTAGTCCAGAAGGCCAGGAGAACTACAATAGTCTTAACAAGCAGGCAAGACAGACAGAGGACAAAACTAATCCCAAATGCTGCCTGGCAGAGCCAGCATTTCCACACAGATGGCTGGCCAATAAACACCAGGGAACACAAGAAACATAGCTTGAGTGACAATAGAAGCAAGAAACTTATTTCCGAATTGTTGGCCTTGACGATGGGTGTAGAACGGAAATGATGAAAGACTGTGGTGATGAAGGTTGTTAAAACAACACCCAGCAATGTGAGTCCAACTAGGATGATGCCCATGGTGTCAGAGAAAGAGAGGAATTCTTCAACCCCAGCAATGCATTTGACCTTGTCGTTGTCTGACCAGTAGTACTCAGGACATTTTCTGCACTCATTAGAACCTTTGGGGACATAGACAGTAGACACGTGCTGTTTAAACAGACAGAAACTTCACTACAAAACAATATTTTTCATCCATGTGCCTTGAGGATTCAAGTTGTGAAACATTAAATTAAAATTAAAAACCATGAGGTTTAATCTTCTGCTTCATGCAGCAATTTTAAAATGTATGAATAAAAAAAAAACCATAACATGCATGCGCTACCAGTGTGGTTGCTGATCTCTCCATCAGCACAGGGTAAACAATCAAAGCAGCAAGAAGGCTGTCTTAGACGTCTGGCCTGCCTGCTGCCAGGGGGGCATGGATCACTGCACTGAGATACAGGCACCTTCACAAAGACAAGACATTGTTTGAAGAAGTGCAAATCAAGATTAATTTCTGCTCAATAGATGCTTTGTGAAACAAAGAGATTTATTACACAAGAGATTTTTATTTTAATAATGTAGCTTATATAATATTTACAATTTGTATCCAATAAAGAAAATGAAATACTTTAAAGATGTATTAAAATTATTTGGGGGGTGGGGCATAGAACCCACCTCCAACTGTCCTTTGGTCCATATGATGGTTTTGAGATCCATCTGTAACTGCTGTCCCAATAAAGCTGAACCATCATAGCTTCCCACTTTGATAAATCTAAACACAGCATAAAATTCTCAAAAAATGTAATCAGGATAAACATGCATAACAGTTTTGCATTAATTCAGCCGAATGCCTACATGGCCACAATGACCATAAATAAATAAATTATGATTACTTAAAGAGACTGTTGTATTCATGTTTAATGTGCCACCTAATTTCACCCTTGCTGTCCTTCTGCCAGCTAATGATGTCATAGAGAGGGACTGGCTCTCCACTGGAATCAAAATATACTTTCTCATCAAACTGGTTGGTGAAATTTACTGTCTTCAGATGATCCAGCAACTGTATGAAAATAGGAATTACAAACAAAGAAAGGTGAAGAGAAAAGCAGACCAAAATAATAATACAAAAACCAAATAATCACATGAATATCGATTTATATATTTTGCAGTGTTGAACTCACCTGCCTAGAAGTAAATGTTTTATGTTTCTCACACAATCTTTTAAATCCTGCAGAATCGCAGTTCATTAAAGTGTGCAGCGCATGGGCGATGGCATATACAGCTTTATACACATTATAGGATATTCTGACTGGAGATACATCAGTATAACTAGTGTGAGTGAACCTCAGGTCCTCTGAACCTGTGCATACAGGTCTTTCTGCCTCATTTTCTTTGAATCTGATTTCTCCAAACTCTAGCCGACATCCAAATAGCTCTTCCCAGAACATGCTGACAAATTCCATACCAGGTTCTAGAGAGGGGCGAACATTCAACAGGAACTCTTCCAAGCCAGGGAGCCAGACTCCAGGGAAGGCGAAGCCCAGTGTGCCCTCTAGGAGATGATGAAAGTGGGGAGAGGTCAGCAGTCTCGCGGTCACCCAGGCTTCACTAGCTACCCACTGGATCCCTGTCACATTTCTCAGAGCCAACTGGAAAGGCATACAATGACGATGATTATCATGAGCAGGTTCATTCTTCTGATATTGATAATGATTATTGTTGTTCATTATTAACTTAAATATTGAATAATATGTCTTATTTCATGCTTGTTCATATTACACTGAGATGTAGAGTGCTTACTTCGAAAAACAGATCTAGCAGCTGTCCCTCTGTAGCAAAGGCCACTACTACCTTTGCAGGTGAACTCTGCAGCCTGTCTGCCATTTCTTGTATCTCAGCCACTGTGGGTGATTTGGGGATAGTCGCATGAAATGCTACACACCCACCTTGCTGTCTAAACTGATTAGAGAATGCTTGGATTCCATAGTGACTGTAGTCATCCTGAAATGCACAGAAAAATGCTTTTTAAATTATGTTGGTGAGTTTAACTGATTGATTATGGGGTTTAAAAAAAGGATTTTATCTTACCATGGTTCCTACTGTGCCCACCCAGAACCAGCCTAAGAAGGTGACCAGCTGTACAATACCTCTAACTTGAAAGATATCACTCGGCACAGTTCGTAAGAATGATGGGTACATATGTTTGTCACTTAAACAGGTACAAGTGGCAAAATAACTCACCTGTAAGGAGGTAAATTTAATTTAAGCTAGTAAAACAGAAGCCAGAAACAAACCATTACTGATCATTTTAAATATTGTGTTATTTTTGCCAAAAACCAAATGGTGGAATAAAGGACAGCCTATCTATAAATTAAATATTGTGAATGACCCTGCCTTTTCATTTCTTTCTTACCAGTGGGATGCTGAAGGAGCCAAGAGTGTGAGCTATAGCTCTTGTAGGGGAAGAGGATGCAAGGCCAATCACAGCAGGCACAGGAGAACCAGCCAGACAAGAGGGTACAACTTCAGGTTGTGTACTCATATCTATTCTCTCCTCTGTTATATTTTCTTTTATGTAATTACCTTTATTCTCAAGATACCCCTCAGCACTTGAATGTTTTACTGTGGTCAGCATCCTTTTGTTTCTTGTTTTTTCTGCGGTATTTACCCCCTTCATTCTAGTACCCCCGTCCTTTGGCATACTCAGTATATTTTCAGTTTCTTTCATTTCTTTCCCCTCAATGGCTTTGGAGTGAGTGACTAATGAGAAAATAGCTTGCAGGCTTGTATAGACATGGTCACAACTGTCCATGATCCTGTAGCCTAGTTTAACACCTGGTAACAGTCTTGAATTACGGTTAATTTCCTCCACTGTAAACACCATGGTCATCATCCAGCGAAAAGCTCTGTAGTCAAAGCTGCAGAAAATTAAACATGAATGCATTCTATGCAACTTTTTACCATGAGACAGAAAACACATTTTCACAACACAATATAAATTAAAACACACTATACGTAGTGTAGCAGCAACATGTACTCAGAGCTCTTAATTATGTAATTGAGATATCTGAATGTGGGACTAAGAAAGGCAGATCAAAATGAAAATATATTCCATAAAAAACAGTATCCTGACACTCACCCGCTGCAAGGTGTGAGAGGGGGTTTGCTGGAGAAGTTGTGCTGTTGCTCAGGGGTCACATAATGCAGGGGGAAAACCCCTCCAATTACAACATCCCCTTCTGACTCCAGGGCCAGAGACTCACTATCCTGTAGTTTCACACACTGAAGTAAACTAGAATTAAAACCGCTCACTTTCTCTGTGCCCAAGCTAATCAGTCTCTCTGTTACAGTTTCTTGCTCATTATCCACACCTCCCTCCAAACTTAGAGTTTTCCTATCATCTACAATATGAGGAACATCAGAAAACACTGGGAAATGAAAACTAATTAAGGCCCAAAGAAGGAGCCACAGAGAAGCTCCAACCAGGGTTGAATGTAACAGCCATACTGACCCCATAAAGACTGTGGTATGTGCTGATGCTGCTTCTACAACATAGTATGTCAAAGGCAGTTATAGGAGACTATATAAAACTGCAGTGTGTGCCTCATTTCCTAGCTCATATGAGTCATCGCCAGATTGGCCAATCACAGTGGAAACCAGTGGCACAAGACAGAGTACAATTTTGTGACTGATCTGAACAATGAGTTCTAAAACTGAAATATTATCTAAGGTTCTAGTCTGTTGGAATATCTGGCTTGATAGAGATGATGCTTAAAAAAAGAAAGAGATTAGGTTAACCTTTTTTAAAACTATGAACATAATTTTATCACAAACGTATATTAATTATTCATTCATTCATTCATTCATTTTCTACCGCTTAGTCCCTGAATGGGGTCACGGGTGGGGCCGGAGCCAATCCC